TATTTTCAAGATTGTATAATAATGTACGCTGCCACAAAGATTTAGTGAGCCTCCTTAAACAGTTACAACAAATTGTTTTCCCAGTTCAATACAGAGACTAGATTGGAAAGATTAAGGGGATGCTTTAAGAAGTTTAAAGTCACAACTTAATCTTATTTAAAAACAAAACTACATGTTCTGGCACTCTTTAAACCCACTTTTATGGTTATTTTACCAGTCAATTTAACACCTATGAAATACATAGTATATTCCCTAAGAAATTACTTATTTGTCATAATGCTTCTACCTCCCTGGTAGAATGTGCCTTCAATAACTAAGCACCCCATTATGGGATAGCACAGGAGTGGTCTGAGTAACTTCTAATAGTACAGTGAAAGACGCTGTATTGTGCCGTGTTTAGGGAAGAAATAACTAATAAAACTGCACACAAAATACCAATATTTGCACCAAGGCTTGCCTTCTAATTAATCTAAAGAAAAAGAACTGTCAGAAAGAGGATGTACTCAGCTACAGCAGTTGATTGAGCCAAACTTCAGAATGAAGGTATCCAGAGATATTCCAGAGCAAAACTCTTCAAAGAACATGACAAACTTCAGCTTGCCAATTATATTCCTTTCTGCCAAAGCACCCATCATTCCACAGAATCCTCCCAGCAGTCCTTCAGAGACTGACTGCAAAGACTGACCTGGATTTGGTGAAATATGGCAACACGGCCTTGCTAGAACATGGAGAAGGAAAAGCATCCCTGTATCCTAGAGACATTCTGACCTCCTACATGAAAGTAAGCAGTGACCACTTCCCAAAGCGATGACATATTACATCACAACATTAAAGAAAATGAGAGTAGCACACAAGAGAACAATCTGAACTGCAGAAGCAATAGCTCATTCATCAGAGACTGGGAAAACTGATGTCACTGCACAATGCTGAAACAGTGCACAGAAATGTGACTAACCATACTCAAGAAATATTGGAACTATTCTTGAGAGTAGGGACCATGGCAACAGAGAGCTTTGTGACAGGAGACCAGAGAAGGCAGGTTTGTTTAGCCTGGTAAACAAAGGTGAAGAAGGACCTGCTGCCTATAAATAGGTCAGGCAGAAAACATCAGCAGAGAGCTACTTCAGACAGAAGGCTGTTTTGGAACAGAAGCAAATGGACGAAGGCTGACTGAATGAATTTAGATCAGAAATCAGAAGAAGCTATCCAACCATTCAGGCCAGTGAAGTGGAGAGCTAAGAGGGAAAACTACCTACTTAAGATGAAGCTGAGTCACCCGATTACATTAAGTGGGCTTGTGATGCAGAAGATTGGACCCTGTGATCCAGGAAGGCTTTAAAGGAAAAAAGCTCGTGCTCCTAGTAGTGGACTACTTGTACACTTCCTTTCCAGATCAAGAAGTAATCCTCTCCACAGCCCTACCAGACTGCTGCAGCAATGAAGACCTCCCATTTCCCCCACAGGGGATAAGTAAGGACTTTTAGCTAGTGGAATTTATTCACAACGTGAAGCTTTTCACACCCCTCCACTTCTGCAGGACTGCAGAAGAGACCAGCTGGATCACTGCAAGCTGCAACGTGGCTCCATGTCATTGTACAGTATGAAGCAGCAGAGAAGGGTCACTGATGGATGACAAATACTAGCATGTTCCATCCTCTGCAGTACCAGAGCTGTAGGGCAATAAAATACATTAGATAGCAAATTCTAACTGCAAATTAGATCAGCTTAGAGTTTTGAGGAAAGGAGAAGGAAAAAGCTAACACCAGATTACTTTCATGTAGCAGCAAGAAGATTCCCAGGGATTGAATCTGTAGTATAAGCTGATGGGAATGTTGTCTCCCCACTTTTGGGCAGATCTCTGATCAGTGAGCGCAGACAACAGCAAGTCCTGCTAAGCAGCAGGGCAAAGTCACCACTGTCAGCTTAGTGCTGGGCTGATGCAGTCCCACAAGCCTCAGACACTGGCAAAATTAAGGAGCCTTTGCTTTCTCTGCTTCATCTTAATGTGGGCCTACAGATCAAACTTTTGCAAGGCAAATTAAGAGATCACATTCCCTCCTTCTTGGCCTTCATTTCACATAGTTTGGCTTCCACCTTGTGTGAAAGATTGATAGCAAGTGTTTACAAGAGCCTTGCCTGTGACAACCACATCCTCTGACAGAAAGCACTACCTGATAGCAATACTTGACTGTGACTGTACTTTCCAGAAGTCATTAACAACACTACTGCAGAAGCAGCATTTAAGGAACAAAACCAGAGATAATTATTAGTCTTGCCTTTATTACACTTGCCACTGCAACACCATACAATGCATCCATCTGCTACAGCAATAGAAGCAGGGGCAGTGGCTTTTCCTTCTATAGTCTGAGAAGACTTTTCTACAGAGAAAATTGTGCTCATGAATTTCTTACGCTGATGTACTACGCCATAAACCAAATGCCAGCCAAGAAGGGAGTACATAAACTGTTAGTTTCAAAGGGGCATGCACTAAACTACCATGGATGATCTCACACCAGACTGTTAAATGGAAGGAGCATGTAAACTGAGCCATGAAGGGTTCCTAACAGATGGTTCAGAGATATTTTGCTGAACCAATGCAGCTTTTGAAGAAGATGGAGAGTAATATACGCTGCTTCTAACCATATGGCCTTAAATAGGAATTTAAAGCTAAACCATTGTGTCACTCGGACAGATGGCGAGGGGAAATAAGGCTCATTTCAAGAGGGACATTATAGCAATTAGTACTAGCATTCTAATAGCTAAGTTTCAGCTTTTCATTTCACATGCTTAGACTTCAAGCCATTTATTCTCTCAGGAACACACAGAAGCTGTATGTCTATTAAGTACCAAAAACTTTCGCACAAATATTAAGATGTTTCACAAGTCTTGGAAGAAGCATGTTTCAGATCTACTATCTCCTATGTTGCAAAGTTACTTTCTCAACATCTCAAAACATAAGCTTACCAAAAGGACACCTAGTGTGTAACATACTCCAAACCAGAAGCACTGGAATCACCATTTAGCTTTGCCAGATTAAGTATGCATGTTCTTTTTCACCTGCTTCCTTACAAAGCCACCTAAAAACACACCTCTGGATTTGATACAAGAAAAAAAAAAATTGCTAGTCCTAACTATTCAGCAACAACACAGGAGTTCAACCTTGTAGCATACCCCACTTCAAGGTCTCCTAAACACCAAGAGCTTCTCCAAGCTTCAACATGTTTAATGAATGTCTTTCAAAGTATCTGAACTACAACAAATTATTTCTTTAATTGAGGTCAATTCCACGTGGTCAACAGAGGCCAGAAAGCTCAGGAAGCAAGGCAGTGCCCTGCACCCAGGAGGACCTCTACTGGTGGCCTTGGTTGGCCAGAGCCGCTCTCAGGTGGACCCAGTATGTTGTGTGCTGTGTGCATAAGAACTACCACCACAGCAGGAACCTACACCACCAAGATGACTCCCAGCACAAGAGATTGGCACACAGCCGAAATTGAGATCTGGGCTCTGCTGATTAACAAACCTTTCTAAAGTTGACAGCAAGGCTTTGTTCAGCTTTATGTCAAGATCTAATTCCTCAGATAACTGAGGATAACAACCAGCAGCTGCAACCCCATCTCCAGTCTAAACATTCACTGCTACATCAGCTATCCCCCAATAAGAGAATATCTGCCAACACTAGCTTTCACCAGCACCCTTAAAATTGTTTAAGGATCTCAGACTACAAGTGCCCTGAACTCATCTGGAGCACTGCTGAGATCCAGCAGAGCTCTGCAATACAACTCTTCTTTGATCTTGCAAGGAGGTCAGCAAATACACTACAGACAAGGAGCCCCAGAAATGTGAAAATTCCAGAGCAACAGGTAAGCCACAGAGAAATAACCACCCATCCTTCATTCAACAGATAACTTTCATGTCTAAGAACACAGGACTGCATTCACACATATTTGACCCCAGTGAATTTCGATTGACAAAAAAAAAAAACACAAGTTTTCACATACACAGCTGTATGGCAATCCAAGTGTGGGAAAAACCTCTTCCACAGCCAACAGCACAGTGGAAATCTTCATTGGCTACTGAACCACTGCACGAAGCAAGAATCTGTGCTCTCCTTACTCCCTAAGGAAAGAAAGCTGCTTCAGGGCAATGGGTGTTCCAACAGAATTGCATATAGAATCCATTACATGCATGGCAGTACTACAACCTGATATCCCATAACCCACAGGTTGCTCTCACTCTTCAGCCACATCTTTTTGCTCTTACAACAAGGCAAAAACACAAACCTCCCTATGTCCTCCTCTCTGCTAGTCACAGCCCAGTGGCAAGCTGCTAGAGGTAACAGCAATAGAAAATACATAAGTCTCCACATATGCCAGGCATCATCTAAACAGCTTTGTAGCAAGGTGGGAGTTCTAAAAACAACGCCCCCAAAAGCTTCTTAACTGCCAGTTTAGGCTGTAATCATATGCACTGGGAAAACCGCAGTTCCAAACGCTTATTTACCTACAAGCATATTGACCGCTGACCAGGCTTGAGCACCCCACAGTGGATGTGCTCTGAAGACCAGAAAATGCAGTGTCTCAACTGGTTAAAATCACAGCTGGCATTGAGCTAGTTTTCATTATGCAGCAGAGTAAGAAATAACAGCTCAGTAAACATATTTCTCTCACAGAGAAATAACCTGCAACCCACAATGCCTGCCATTCTGTCCACTCCAGAAGCATCACTAACATAACCCACGTACACACTTGTTTTAGTGAGAATCGCCGAAGAAAATGCTGTTTTACAGACTGAGATAAAATACTACCAAGCAACAGCTCCCTAAGGCACATGAAGGTGACGCTCAACAGGAAGGCCTGGGCTTGCACTGCGGTGTGACAGAGCATGTGGAAAGCATTACAAGCTCACCCCAAAGGCACATCACAACCATCCCAAGTAAGGGCAACACTGAGTACCCACCATGCCCCCTCCTATACAGAACACCAGAGGAGCCCTCCTCATACCTGAATTCGGGGACGAGGTTTGGTTGCAGTCCATAGAAAGCTGCTGAGAGAGTCACCAGCCAGCCGGGTTTGTAATTCCCGTTCTCACACTCCAGATAAGGAGAGGACCATCTGATGTGGTTCTTATCAGCTGTGAAGCCCTCTCGCCTCTTCCAGCTGTTCTCCAAAGTTTTGGAGCCCGTGTTCAAGACCTTCCTGTGCTGATGCGGCCTCCACTTGCGCTTCAGGCCCTGGAACCACTCTGTCTCCAGGGATCCGTTTGCCAGGCGGTGAGCGGAGGAGGACAGGTCCTGCAGGTGGATCTGGTTCTCGTGCCTGCTGGCCTGGAGGAATACCTGGGGGGCAGAGAAGGGCTCCGTGCTGAAGGTGATGGCTGCCCTGGAGATGTTGGGATCCCCTTCCAGGAGGCTCCTGATCAGCGCCCGGTACCACTCCAGGTCCTCCTGCAAGTTCTGTTCCCGCGACTTATTGCTCTGCAGGATCATGTTGAGGAAGTTGGTGGCGTGCGTGAGGGTGTCCAGGGCGCCGTGCAGGGACGGGTGCGAGACGAAGCGCGACTTGCCGGCCAGACTGGCCAGCTCGTAGCGCCCGGAGCAGTTGGCCCTCCGCAGCTCCCGAGAATCGCCGGTGTAGAGGAACGAGGCCACGTCCTGGGGCACCTCCTCGGCGAGCCGCTGCGCCAAGATGGTGCTCTCCGGAGAGCGGCTCCGCGGGGCCGGGGGCGGATCGCGGCTCTTGATGTGGTTGTAGATGGGCTGCCTGACTCCCGGCGCCCGCCCTCGGCCGGCCGCGGCTCCGAGCCCGCGTTGGGCCAGGAGCAGGAGGAGAAGGAGCCGGAGCGATGCCATGTCCCCGGCGTTCCCTGTCGCACAGGCACGGCGGAATCGCTCAAGCCGGGCTTCGCGCAGGCAGCCTGGGCGCGGCGGCGACCGAGCGGCCCCCGGCCCCGAGTCACCTGTGGCGGCACCGGGAGCGGCGGCGGCAACCCCGCCCGCTCCCGCCGCGGCCCCGCGCTCACTGAGGTGCTGCCCAGCGGAGCGCGCAGGGGCGGCGGCGCCCGCGCCCGGCGCAGCGGCGGGTCCCCCCGCGCCGCCCCGCCGCCGCCCGAGCCCCGCCGCTCCGCATCCTTCGGGCGCCGCTGCCGGACTGCCCCCTCGCCGCAAGGAGCGCACGGCTCTCTCCGCCGCCGCTTACGGAAAACAGCTCACCGCCACGGCCGGCGCCTCACCGCCGACCCTTATAGGTGTACGGCGAGTAGTTGCCGCCCTGTGTGGCCGCCTGGGCTGTCAGTCAGCCGGCAGCCATTCACGGGGCAGGAGGACGGAGCTGAGGGAGGCGGTGCCACCGCCAAGAGGCGTCGAGGAACCTCGCCTCACCTGCTGCCGGCGGAGCGCGGCGCAGCACAGCGCGGGGCGGGGCGGGGCGGGGCGGGGCTCCATAGGGAGCCGCCCGCCCGAGGGACGAGGGTCGCGGGCAGGAGCCGCGCTGCGGGACCGCGCGGGGAGTGTGGTAGCGACACCTGCCGGCCGGACGCGGAGCAGCCGTGTGGTGGCGGGCAGCGGCCGTTCGGCTGAGGCGGGCACGGGCGGTAGAAGCGTCGGCGATGTGGAGGTACGGGAGAAGCCTGTATTTAAACCCGTGTTTAAGTTTGCATTTGTTCTAATGCGAAGTTATTGCCCCGCCTGGTACTTTTGGATCGGATGTCCGTGAGGAGGCCGTCAGCAAAGGGTGGATTTTAGAAGGTGTGCAATTAACTCCATTCTGGCTAGATCTAAAACTCTCTTTTGGAATTGCAGAGTGAGGAACAGAGGAGTAGTAAAGAGATCCTTCCCCCTCTCCCACACACACATGTGCATGCACATCCTACAAAGAGCAGATCTCAGCGCTGCAGAATGTGATCTAATTTTAAGCCCTTGACAAGATACATTTGCTGCTTTAAAACATGCTCTTATTTTAGAATTATTTGAAACTATTCTTAAAGGAATAGCCTAACAGCTAAGGGTTGAATAACTTTGCAGTCCAAATTTTTCTTGCACACAGTAGATATTCTCTGTTAAACATTAATTTACATGTAATGAACGTCCCCTCAGTGAACAGCCTATGAGGTTATTTAGAAACCAATACACTGAGCAGCTCAGATGCTGCTATTTACAGTTTAGCACAGCGCAGGGAATCTGTGCCTCAAAGTCTGCACTGAACAAATACCTGAGGATGCATTGTTTGCTGGGCTAAGTGAGAAATGGGGCTTTTGGAAGGAATAGCTGTCAGGGCTGAGCTAAGCTAACGTGGAATCAGTTACTTGGTAAGGTGTCAGTGACAGTACAAATGAACAAGCACTTTTTTCACAGTGGGCCTGTGCAGGTTCCCTTACTGCTACAGTCCAGAGGGTCAGCTGCTGGCTGGGTGCACTTCCCTCCCGGATCCTGACCACTAACACCTGCCTGAATGGCACCATGTCTGGGGAATGGCCATCTTCCTGTACTCTCTCAAAAATCAAGCATTCTTCTAAAGTACTCACAGAGTAAATTCCTTTATTTCCTCATCTCATTGGAGTCCTCTCAAATACCCTTCTCCAGAAGTACTCACCTCTCCCGCACCCCCTTTTCCTTCGCTGACAGCCCCCAAGAAGCTCTTGTTCCCAGCACAAACCTTTGCCAGGAGCCTGCAGCCGAGTGGGCCATGGCACAACTCCAGCTGCTGCAAGCTTCTCTCTATTCTGGGGCATCAGGAGTCAGAAGGCTCTGGCTTTCCTGTTCCACCGGTGTGTGCTGTGTTTGCGCTCTCTGCTATCAAGATACGAGGAGAGATGGGAGATTTACTGAAGAAGTTCCTTGCTGAGGGTGCCAGGGCAACTGATGCTGTTTCTGCATCAAGGTCAGAAGAGTTGTTTTTGTCCCCCCAAGGCTTCTTCCTGCAGTCACAAACAGCTACGATATCCAGCCGAACCCACAACAAGATACAGATTTCCCATAATTGCAAACATGCATCTACTTACAGCTCTGTAAAACCTGTGTTGTGATACCCAAAGCCTGCCACTCACCAACCACATCCAGGGGACTGCAGTGGAACTGCTTCAGCCCATCCGCCAGCAGGGATACAGCAGGATCTGATTGCTGTTCTGCACATCTGAGTTGTTTGAACCATCGTGGTTGTTCCAAGCACAAAGCCAGTACATGAAGGATCTCAACCGACTGCATTACCTACTGAGCCAGAATCTCCATGTAGATATTGCATGAGCTCAACCTCAGTCTAATTACAGTGCAGAAAAAAATAGCAGTGCAAAATGTTAGCAGTTTTTAACAGATTAGAGTAAATGTAACCTACTTTCTTCAAATACAGCCTACATGCAAGATCTTGGTTTATCTGAACTATTAGAAGTGCTCATGCCAGAATTATTCCATTTTTGGAATAATGGAATTCTCTTGTATCTGTGAAATTTATTTAAAGACTCATTTATTAATTTCTGTCCTAAGCTAATCAGGTGATAGATATACAGAGTAAAAGCACTAATTAAGTGCTGAAACTTTGAGAGTAATTTGTTGTATCTCTCTCAGACAGAAACAAAATATTTATTAATATAATTAATTACAGTACTCAAAAATTTGAAATGTAAACTGAATCAAAGAAAGAAACCCATGTTTTCTCACTGAGCGAAAGGCTGCAGAGTAAGTTCCACAGCTGCATGTTCTCTTTGGCCTTTCATCTTGCCACTTATATTGGCCAGTAAATATCAGTACACCCCAAAACAGGAGGATCACATACTCGTCCTCCTGCATGATAGAAGGGAATGGCAGAGGGAGCTGGAGGTGGGGAATGCAGATTGACGAGGCAGAGATAGGAGTCCTGTTCATGTTGTAACACAGTGCAGAGTGCACTGGGGCTGGGAGTGATGCTAGGTTTATTGCTGCAGAGGGCAAGAGTGAGAGTGAATGGAAATCTCTTGGAGACCTGGCTTCATTAGCTCTCTTGTTTTCAACCACAAATGAATTAAAACCACTGCAGAAATATTTCAGAGGGAAAAAAAAAAAAAAAAGGAAAAAAGAAAAAAAAGAAAAAAAAAGAAGCCAAAATTCAGAATGTAAGAGTTGTTATTTAGAAACTGATGAAATAAGCAGCAAGCGCTTAGCTGTCAGTTAAGGTTCACCTGTAGTGAGAAGTTCAAACCCAGTGGTGTTTTCTTAGAAATACTGGATTAGAAGAAGTCCAAAGAGGTTTCCCAGTGCAGCCCTCCCGTGCTGGGGCTGGACAGTGCTGCAAGACCATCTCTGCCAGGAGCTGACCTACCTTGTCTCAAAAACACTTGCAGCCAGGTAGCCTCCACAGACAGGGACCCTAACTGCTTTGCCCCAGTCTCCATCACATTAGCACCAACTATGTAGACTGAATCTTTCTTTGGTTCTTCCCTTTCTTCTTCTCACCATTAGATGGTGTCTGTCTGCAGAAGACCACCTTGACTTACTCTTTTTTTCTTTCTGATAGACTAAATAATTCAATTTCCTAATACTATGACTTCTAAAACTCTCACTGGTCCTGCTGTTCTCTTCTTGTCTCCATTTTGTTAGCCTGTTTCTCTAGGTGTCCCAGAGAAGGCCCCTTGTGCATCTCCTGCAGGCTACACAAAATTCTGTTAGTACATTGAGGTGTGCCTGCTCTTTCACCCTCACTGCAGTACTGACCAGTATATGAATTTGTAATCCAGTGTAATCCTCATAACCTTTCAAAACATTTTGCTTCCTTTCTATAAATTGTCTGTTCTCATTTGAGGATTTGATCTCTCCTTCCCCTGGGCAGTACTTGGCACTTATCTTTGTTGAATTTTATCTTACTGATTTTTCAAGATTATCTTCAGTTCCAAACTGTTTCTTCAGAATGCTTTTAACTATCTTATTGTTTCTTGTAGGTTTTTTGTTTTGTTTTGTTTGCTCATTTCATGAGCCTATATTTCACAGTTATTGTTCTTTTACAGTTGGTCTTGATGATCTTAGAGGTCTTTTCCAGGCTTAATAATTCCTGGTTCTACTATTATCCACTTTGTTCATGAACATGTTCATGATATGTTTAATAGATTTTAGCCAAGGTCAGATCCCTTCAGGAACCTGCTTGAAACATCCTCCCAGTTTGATAGTACACAACTGATTGCTTACATTTTGAATGACTTTAGGGGCAACTGCTTCTTCACTTCATGACTCACTTGCACAATATTTCCTTAGCTTACTTATGAGAGCCACATGCCAAGTTGCTGAGATAGATTTACTAGCCATGAGGCCAGTTATGAGTCCAAGAAGAAAATTTGGTTTGCATTGTTTGGATTTTTCTTGATAATCCCTCATTAGCTAATTTCAATCAATTAATTATTTTTAGTCCGTGACTATAAAGTAGCTTAATATTTTTTTCCTGAACCCTTTTGAAAATCTTTGAGCTCCACTCTGTGTCATTCCTCTCTTTTCTTTCTCTTAAAATATGCAATACAGTGTTTTTCCCAACTTTGGAATCCTCTTCCCATGCCCTTGAAATGCGAAGTGATAGTGTATGCTTGAAGGGTCCCATCTTATCTCCAACAGATAGTGTTATTCTAGAGTAGAAGAAAATTGTCTGTCAGACAACAAATTCATGGCTTTGGCTCCTAATTGTTTGTGGAGAACTTGCGTCTGATATGCAGGTGTATCTAATAGGCAGATACAGACTGCATTTTAAATGAACACTACTCCAAAACTTCCTAAGCTTGTTTGCATTCAGGAAAAGGTACGGGGGTGCCGAAGTTCAGGTTGCAAACACAAACTATTCTGCTTGCACTTTAAAGAGATTATTTTAATGTTGGGAAACACTGTTCACATAATGCCCAGGGCTGTTGGTACCTCCACAGTGTTTGGCAAGGATGCAGTGTGTAATGCTCTTACACTACTGAGAGGAAAAAAACAGCACAGAACACACACCCAGAGCAGTCAGGTCCGTGAACCAGTCT